GGAATTACCAGATCATCCAATGACAGTGTTAGAGGATCTTTGGTCTTAGCTACAAACAGGGCTAACTTGTTGAACCAGGGGGTAGGATATCCACATCAAGAGTTCCCCATTTCGAGCATAGGAGATTGAAGATGGCAGGATGAAGGGCACATTTCTCTTGGTCCAAGCAGTGATGACTAAGGAAATCCACCTTGTGTTGTAGAGGACTTGGGGGGAAATGAATGAAGGAAACAACCTTGAATGAGACTACTGTGAGGTGTAGTACTTAGATCAACCAGCATCCACCCAGCCCCAAAGCACTCATTTGCTTCAGGAATTCAGCACCGTGATTTATATACTCCTCAGTTAAGAAACGTAGATGACTTCGGTTGTGTAATGTTCTTACTCAAAAACCTTTCTCCATGTGTCTTTGTTGGGTTGTCTCTATGCTGATATAGTTTTGGAGGAAATGTGTATATGTGCCTTTAGAGAATGAGCTGGCCCTTGGATGGGTTAGTTGGGTCCTGTCTAACAGGTGAGTGGGGTATCTAGGCCTTGAGTTGAAAGCTGGGTGGGCTAGCTGGTTCTGGGCTTGACAAATGAGTGGTCTAGCTGGTTTTGGGCTTGAAAGCTGGATGGACTAGCTAGGTCTTGATTAGACAGCTGGGTGGGTTGACAGTTGTGATAATTTGGGCCTGGTTTTGTAAGCTGAGTGAGGTAGCTTGACTTGGATTTGAGAGCTGTGTAGGCTGATTGGCTGGCTGGGTAGCTCTAGAATAAGATGTCTGGTTTTGGGCAAGTGATAAGTGACAATTGGCATCCTTCTTGGCTTAGCACAGAAAGGGAAGGGAGAAAGAAGATCTAGTAGAACATCTAGTAGATGGGACTGCACTTCATAGAGAGCATATTTGTCTCAGTCATCCCTCTCCTGACCCACCACCAATGTGCCGCCACTCCCAGAAAAGTCCCAGGTTGCAACAGGCCGCTTTCTTCACACAGGTGGAGGATCGATCTAGAGGCAGACCCATACACCTAAAGGACCTTTGATGAGCCGTATCTGTGTATAAATCATTGTGTAATTGAAATGACTATTTGGGGAAGCTGCAGCTGAACAATGGCTTGTAACTGATAAGCTACCTAGTAAAATATTGAACCGCAATACGCCGGTATCATTTCATTCAGTTCGCTTTTACTAGCCAAATGGTACTGGGAGGTCTCATGGAGATCCTACTTAAATGCTGGACTACTCAGGAAACAACGCTCAACAGGAGGCCGTCTTCACTCTACGAGACGTTTCTTGGGGCTGCAGTTCTTCTGAGCTCCACAAGGGGTGATCGCACTTTTTCCCAGACAGGAAGTCTCTGTGGAAGACAGGAAGCGATGTCAGGTATAAATAGGAAGTTCTGGTTGAGAGGTGAATTGGGAGGAAGTAGAGAGGAGACATTGCTGGAAGTGGCAGCAGAGGAGGTAATAAGATCTGATTTTCTATTTACACCCAGTAACCCCCGGTCATGTCCGTCCTCTTCCTCCATTGTCACACCCGTCCTCTTCCTCCACAGTCATGTCCGTTTTCTTCCTCCAACGTCACGTTCGTCTTCTTCCTCCATCGTCACGTCCGTCTTCTTCCTCCATCGTCACGTCTGTCCTCTTCCTCCATAGTCATGTCCGTTTTCTTCCTCCACCGTCACGTCTGTCCTCTTCCTCCATCGTCATGTCCATCTTCTTCCTCCATCGTCATGTTCCTCCTCTTCCTCCATCGTCATGCTCCTCCTCTTCCTCCATCGTCATGTCCGTCCTCTTCCTCCATCGTCACGTCCGCCCTCTCCCTCCATTGTCACATCCGTCCTCTTCCTCCATAGTCACTGTGACGTCTTTTATCTCCAGCAGATGATGATACACACATATATAGTGTGGTAACCCAGATTAACCCCTTCAGGGGCAGAACATTTCCCCACTTTCGGGGCCGGAACATTCTCCTCATTGTGGAAATGTCACCTTCCCACCTTAGCAGTCTCTTGTAACGAGGGATGAGATTCGGATTCTGGTTGTAACTGAAATTTAAGTCCAATTTGTAGGATTATAATTTTGGTAGAATTTGTGGTTGATTAACTTTGGTGCTCATCCATAATGCCTTTTGTATCCTTTGAACCTGCTTTGCATCCTCACAGCAGCCAATAATGAGGATGGTGTATGGATAACCCCACCCTTGACTATAAGAAAGGAAGTCAGAGATCAGCCAATGATGGGGAGGAGGCAGGTTTCCTCACCAATCACTATAAGAGTAATTCCATCCTCTTCCTCTTCTTTCCTCTTCATGTCCGTCCTCTCCCTCCAAGATCATGTCCGTCCTCTTCCTCCATCGTCATGTCCGTCCTCTTCCTCCATAGTCACTGTGATGTCTTTTATCTCCAGCAGATGATGATACACACAGATATAGTGTGGTAACCCAGATTAACCCCTTCAGGGGCAGAACATTCCCCCACTTCCGGGGCCGGAACATTCTCCTTATTGTGGAGATGTCACCTTTCCCACCAATCACCTCCTCACCTTAGCAGTCTCTTGTAACGAGCGATGGGATTTGGATTCGGGTTGTAATGAAATTTGAGCCCAATTATTGGCTGATCTCAGACCCCTTTTATAGTAAGAAGTGGGGTTATCCACCTCCTCCCCATGTTACTGGCTGATCTCAGACCCCTTCTTATATTGAGGGGTGGGGTTATCCACCTTCTTAGCCCATTATTGGCTGATCTCAGACCCCTTGTATGGTGAGGGGTGGAGTTGTCCACCTTCTCAGCCCATTATTGGCTAATCTCAGACCTCCTCTTATAGTGAGGGGCGGGGTTGTCCAATTCCTCCCCCATTATTGGCTGATGTCAGACACCCTCTTATAGTGAGTGGTGGGGTTATCCACCTTCTCAGCCCATTATTGGCTGATCTCAGACCCCTCTTCTAGTGAGAGGTGGGGTTATCCACCTGATCCCCCATTATTGGCTGATTTCAGACCCCATGTATAATGAGAGGTGGGGTTATCCACCTGATCCCCCATTATTGGCTGATCTCAGACCCCTCTTCTAGTGAGAGGTGGAGTTATCCACCTGATCCCCCATTATTGGCTTATCTCAGACCCCTCTTCTAGTGAGAGGCAGGGTTATCCACCTGATCTGAGGAGGATGAGGAATATGGTGTAATAAAGGAGCTTTTTGAAGGACACCAGGGTCTCTATGAGGATGTTATGGTGGAAACACCTAAAACCAGGAACCCACCAGAGAGATGTCCCCGTCCTCTGTATTCCCGGGATTCCACACAGGCAGGTCACAAGATCACTCACCATCATCAGGTAGGTGGAGTTGAGGGTCGGAAACATAAAGTGATGGAACCCTCTGACATGTGGAGACGATGTGTGGACTCTACAAGATGAGATGTTCTTTGTGATCTCACATCATAAATCCTTCTATGTTACAGATGTTATTTTCTGCCATTCTGTTGGTTTAGGGTGAAGATCTGATGAACATGAAAGTTGAGGGTGAAGTAGAAGAGACGTATTTGAGGGATGATCAGCAATATACGGAGGAGGCTGGAATGAGGAGGACATTCATAGAGGAGGACACTCCTACAGAGATCAGCACAGGTGACCAGAATATATTCTTCTCTTATCTCTGCTCTGTTACGCCCCTCCCCCCTCCCAGCCCCCATTGGTTCCTGCTCCTCTGATAAGGCGGAGTAAATGTAGAAGTGATCTGGGAGGACCAAAGGCCTTTTGAAGAGGGGAAGAGTCCCAGCTGGTTGGGACATCCACAGAGAACATCTGTGTAGCTGGCCAGCTAAGACCGGTCCTAGGTTGCTAATATGGTTCACATATATGTGTATACCAAACCTGCCAATAACCTCAGTGCAGTGTACAGTATATGTGCATATGTTAAAGCCAAAAGCAGAATCATTGCTGTAATTTATGTCTCTGAATGTTATATAACATTTATAAATTCATTGTGTTAGCAGAAGCAGAAAAGGAAAAATATACTTTTAAGAGTCAGCACATAGGTAAGCCAATCACAGCCAGCCTCACACTGCACAGAGCCTTAACCAATCCCAGCCAGTTTCACATTTGTGCCTGTGTAAAACCCCCTGCTAGATCTTTCTAGAGCCATTTGCTCACCAGACAGAAGAGGAAACAGACAGAGTTCCAGTCAGAGATAAGTTCTATGGAAGCAGAGAAGGCCAAATAGTTCCAACGAAATGAGCCATTGTAAGGTAAACTGAAACAAGTCATTGTAGAGTAATACGAAACGAAATACGTAAAGAATCACAATATGCAACCGTAATCCATAATCCACAATACGTCTACCGTCTTATGTTATCTGACAAGATTGAACTGTTGAATCTCCTTGTTTCTTGGTGATTTTCATTCACCACGTGTTTGTACATGAACTGTCCGCTGCACAAGCAGCAGTGTTATATGAGGAAGATTGAAGTTATTAAAGAAGTTAACTAAAGTATTCGGTGTGCTCTTTAAACCTACTGCATCCATAGAGCGGCATTGGAGGAATTACAGAGTAAAGTCAGTCTAATCAAACAGAAGAAACAGCAATTGCATAATTTTTCTAATGCCACAGCGCACAAGGCACTACATAGTGCTGCGCCTGCCACAAACTGCTCCCTCCTATCTCCCTGATCCAGATGGAATCTTGATGGAAGTGAACTAACCCTCTCCTATCTATTGATGATGTTTTTCTATTTTTCCAGGACCCGCCATGGAGAAACCCTCAAAGGATCGTCTCACTTTATCTCCAGGTTGTAAAATGGAAGATGAGGACATCACAGGAGATTGTGCCGGAGAAAAGACAATAAGCTCCACTATGGATGGTGGACTTCCCAGTGTGGAGAGACCATGGAGTTCCTCGGACTCTGAGCAACCTCAGAAAGTGAGGGATGGGAGGGAGATGAAAGTTTCCTGTCCTGAATGTGGGGAAGGTTTCAGTTCTATATTAAGTCTTTCTGTACATCAGAGATCCCACACAGGTGAGGAGATTTATTCCTGTCCTGAGTGCGGGAAAGGTTTTTTATATAAATCAGAACTAATTAGACATCACAGATCTCACACGGGAGAGAAGCCGTATTCTTGCTCTATGTGTGGAAAATGTTTTACAATAAAATCAAACCTTACAAAACATCAAAGAACTCACACGGGTGAGATGGCATATTTCTGCCCTGAGTGCGGGAAATGTTTTTCCCATAAATCAGAACTAGTCAGACATCACAGATCTCACACAGGTGAGAAGCCATATTCCTGTCCTGAGTGCGGGAAATGTTTTACAATAAAATCAAACCTTACAAAACATCAAAGAACTCACACGGGTGAGATGGCATATTTCTGCCCTGAGTGCGGGAAATGTTTTCCCCATAAATCAGAACTAGTCAGACATCACAGATCTCATACAGGGGACAAGCCGTATTCCTGTCTTGAGTGTGGAAAATGTTTTACAATAAAATCAAACCTTACAAAACATCAAAGAACTCACACAGGTGAGAAGGCGTATTTCTGCCCTGAGTGTGGGAAATGTTTTCCTCATAAATCAGAATTTGTCAGACATCACAGATCTCACACGGGGGAGAAACCATATTGCTGCTCTGAGTGCGGGAAATGTTTTTCACTCAAGGCCAATCTTAAAACACATCAAAGGTCTCGTGTGTGCAAAAAGGCGCGTTCCCGTTCTTAGTGTGAAAAATGCTTTCAACAAAATCAAATCTTACTTAACGTCAGATAAGCCTTTCATGGAAAAAGCTGTTTTTCTGCCCTGAGTGAAGGAATGCTATCCACCATACTCAGAACTCTGGTTGGGTCCCTCTAGCAGTGTAGTCTGATCTCCCCTGACCTTTAGCAGAAGCTTCCATGGAGGACATCATGGTGAGAGAGAAGGGGGGGGGGGGTCATTGCTGGTTGGGTCCCTCTAGCAGTGTAGTTTGATCTCCCCTGACCTTCAGTAGAAGCTTCCATGGAGGACATCATGATGAGAGAGAAGGAGGGGGGGGGGGGGGGGGTCCTGTAGGTTTTAGTCTCCATCTTGTGTCTTAGTAGTTTGGTGTTCCCAGCTTGTCCTTGTTGGAACAGCTGACTCTCCCCCTTCTCATAGACCTCAGGACGTCTGCAGTATACTCCAATGATAGGTCCATCAGTCCATAGACCCATCTATCATTCCACCCGTAATTCCTCCTCCACACCATCACTACCTCCAACCGCAAGATCATTCTTCTCTTCCCTTTTCCTCTTTTCTCCTTCTCTTCTTTTCTCCTTGTCTTTTCTCCTTCTGCTTCTCTTCTTTTCTCCTCTTTTCTGCTTCTCCATATTCTAACACTACAAGTACGGCTCATCCTGTAGGTTTTAGTCTTCATCTTGTGTCTTGGTAGTTTGGTGTTCCCAGCTTGTCCTTGTTGGAACAGCTGACTCTCCCCCTTCTCATAGACCTCAGGATGTCTGTAGTATACTCCAATGATAAGTCCATCAGTCCATAGACCCATCTATCATTCCTCCTGTAATTCCTCCTCCACACCATCACAACCTTCAAACCCAAGATAGTTTTCTTTCTTCTTTTTTCAGCTGCCTGATTCTTACAGTAATGCCAAGGAGAAAAACCTATTATGTATTATTATGCCATTTCTAAGCAAGACTGCTGTGTATGTAAACTACTTACAGTTACAGGAAAAAAAACAAGACATATAGAGTACTATAAGTATGCATGCATACCAACATTCACACACTATCATTTCCTAGCCAATGAACAATGATAGTATGTTGTATGCAATATGGATACACTAAAAGTCACTGCTTCTGTTATAGCTGGTCCATGATTTTCTTAATGAACAGGACTCTCAGCATTAAGTGATTAAGGGAAAAAAATTCTTGATCTTTGCAGTCTCTATCTTTTATAGTGCAGCTTTATTGTTTTCCCATTGTAGATTCCTCCTTTCCTGCAGGCCTTTTATCTTAAAACTTTGTAGCCCTCTCCTGAAGTTTTCTGCAGGTCGCCTGTAATGGGTGCCGCCTACCCAGGTCTCTCCCATAGCTTTGTTTCTCTGCACATGCTATGTACAGCATAATGATGATTTCTCTGCCACTTTTACAAAGCGATAACATGGTTTTTGAGGGCCTTTGGTGTATACAACGTGGATTTATAATTTCGTGACTGTTGAGGAACAGATATAAATACAAATTTTTGCGCCTGGAGTTAAAAGTAGAATTTTGGGCAAAACCTAACTGCTGTTAAAAAGGCCCCTTCCTTCCTCCTAACACCTATTCTGAATAACCGGTGTGAGATAGAATTGTACAGTATACTAACCTATGTTGAGGGCGCTCTGGTCCAGTCATGTGATCTCCCGTGTCAACCAGCGGGACATAAGAGAGCGCTCCTACAACAGCTGGTAAGGCCTGGGCGTTTGACATCACCCATAGGCTTCAATGGCCTATCTGTTGTCAGGTCCGCCCTGCAGCCACTCTGGTTGACACAGGGAAGCCAGATCATGTGGCTGGACCGGAGCAGCCTGACAATACATAGGTGTCATGGAAACCACCAGGACTTGGTCTCCTGGAGGGGCCAGGCCTGCTTCCCACCAACTATGGACCTAGAACTAAGGAGAGCCCCCTCTTGGGGTTACAAGGAACCATAACCTCCAGAGTCCAGACTGCTAGATGCCGGGAAGGAGTCCATTGTTTTCTTGTGTTTGTTTGTTTATGTAATGTCATTTTCTCCTGGGACTTGTAACATGGGCCATACCTGTCTAGGGGGAAGGTTTTTCTGTATAAATGCTGTGCTGTTTGTTAATAAAATCAGTCCTTGATTTACTCCAACATTGGTTCTGTCTGAAGCTTGGGATTCATTTTTCTATATTCTGGTTCCAGAGTGGAGGAAGCTGTAGCCTAGTAGAGATACCCTCTGGGGTGTCAGGCAGACTGCCACTTTGGTTGGCAGCTGTGGGATCGGCTTCCTCCCTATGGGCAGTCCAAACCACCACCTGATGATCTGCCATGAGTTCTGGAGGGAGGCTCTCCAAGTGGAGCAATACTGTTATGGAAAGGTCCTCCCTATACCCATTGATCAGTACTGGCTGCAGCTGGACTTGCATTTACTGTTCCTAGGAGGAACATCCTCAGAAGGAATGGTTGATAGACTGGTCCAGATGGAACTGATGCTCGGCAATGGTCAGAGTCCCTGTCCAGAAGTTTTTATATCCATGGGATGTAATAAAGGCCCTGTACCGTCTATATAATATTCATACTGGGGGGGCCAAAGTGCAGTCCACGTTTGTGTTCAGAACGAACCTTAAGTTCATACTTTAGACAATGTCTGTATACAACGATCAGATATAACATTGTGACCACCCACCATAACCCTTGCAGGCATGGACTCCACTAGACCTCTACGTATGCTGTGGTATCTGGCACCAAGCTGTCAGTAGCAGATCCCAGACGTCCTGTAAGTCGGGAAGTGGAGCTTCCATATATCAGACTTGTTTTTCCAGCACATCCCACAGATATGTGACTGGATTGAGAATTGGAGAATTTTGAGGCCAAGTCAACACTGTAAATTAATTGTTGCGTTCCTCAAACCATTCTTAAATTAGTAAAACCAGGTCACCTTCTTCCATTGCTCCATGGACCAGTTCTGGCTGCAGGGCACCCTGACCGGTCTGCAGCTACACAGCCCCATACACAACAAACTGCAGTGCGCTGTGTGTTCTGACACCTTTCTATCAGAACCAGCATTCACTTCCTCATCTCCCTCCCCACCTCCATCAATGGGCCTTCCCTTCCCACCTCCATCAAAGAGCCTTCCCTCTCCACCTCCACCAATGAGCCTTGCCTCCCCACCTTCACCAATAAGCCTTCCCTTCCCACCTCCACCAATGAGCCTTCCCTCCTCACCTCCATCAATGAGCCTTGCCTCCCCACCTCCACCAATAAGCCTTCCCTCCCCACTTCCATCAATGAGCCTTCCCTCCCCACCTCCAATGAGCCTTCCCTCCCCACCTCAAGCAGTGAGCCGTCTCTCCCACCTCCATCAGTAAGTCGTCTCTCCCCACCTCTAGCAATGAGCTTCTCTCCCCACCTCCAGCAATGAGCCTTCCCTCCCAACCTCCATCAATGAGCCTTTCTTCCCAACCTCCATCAATGAGCCTTTCTTCCCAACCTCCATCAATGAGCCTTCCCTCCCCACCTAAATCAATGAGCCTTGGCAACCCATGACCATCACCAGTTCTTCCTTGGAACACTTTCAGTCAGTCCTGACCACTGCAGACCAAGAACATCCCACAAGAGCCACAGTTCTGGAGATGCTCTGACCCAGTCATGACCCGGGAATTCCATGTTCACTGACTAGGAAGTACAGGAACGCTAAAGAAAGGAACAATAAAAAGAGTCAGCAGTGATCAAGGACACTGTAACTGGTGTGGGGGAGATCATGAACACTGTAGTAGCCCCGTGGCTACCAAGGAGCCAAAATCAAAAATTTACCTAAACCTGATAGCACCTAACTAGGATGGTGCTACATCAGCATGGAGACAAGCCAACGAAGATCCACAGAGCGAGGCTTGTGACTGAGAACTTTATTGAAATATCTTAGCTGAACATTACGGAGTCAACTTGCTGAAGTTTGGAAAAAACAAATGTCCTGGTTGTTGGTTGACCTATATAATGGGCACAATAAACAGTCACCATCGTTGGAGGAACATCGAAAAGCTTTGCTCGGTAGGACTCTTCCATACCTTCATCCAAGAGTGGTGGCCTTTATGAGGAATATACGTGGCTTACCCAACCTTGGTCATAGGTGTGACCCTTCCACTAGGCTGATCTAGGCTCAGGAAGGATGGATTGACGGAGAATATTATGTGATAGAACTTTCCGTCCTCTGCTTAGGGTCCACAAAAATGTGATGAGGGCGATAAGGTAGACTATCCACAGAGGATGGGGTCACCTTTCATGTACACGGCCATTAATACCCCTAAATCATGTAGTACAGTGGTCTCAAAAATGCGGCCCTTTGCTTTCTTTTATCCAGTCCTTGGGGCACGGTTCCATCCATTGACCCCAACAAAGGGGCACAATTGATCCCAGTGACACCCACGATGGGGCACAATTCTTCCTACTAACCCTAACAGAGGGCACAATTGATCCCAGTGATACCAACGATGAGGCACAATTCCTCCTTCTGACCCTAACAAAGGGGCACAATTGATCCCAGTGACACCCACGATGGGGCACAATTCTTCCTACTAACCCTGACAGAGGGACACAATTACAATTAATCCCAGTGACACCCACGATGGGGCACAATTCTTCCTACTAACCCTAACAGAGGGACACAATTACAATTAATCCCAGTGACACCAACGATGGGGCACAATTCTTCCAACTAACCCTAACAGAGGGGCACAATTACAATTAATCCCAGTGACACCAACTCTGGGGCACAATTCCTCCTTCTGACCCCAACAAAGGGGCACAAATGTACCCAATGGCACTAACGATGGGGCACAATTCCTCCCACTGACACCAATGATGGGGCACGATTAATCTTACTGACACCAAATATGAGGCACTATTCCTCCCAATGACACCAAATGATGTGACACTATTCTTCCCATTGACATCAACAATGTTACCAATGATGGGGCATAATTTATCCCAAAGACATCAATCATGGGGCACTGTTTCCCCCAATGACGGGGCACAATATCTCCCAATGGAAAGAATGGTGCACTATTCCTCCCAATGACACCATCGATGGGGCACTATTCCTCCCAATGACAGTGAACTATTTCTACCAATGAAACCAACAATGGGGCACTATTCCTCTCAATGACTGCAATGATGGGGTACAATTCCTTCCTCTGACCCTAACAAAGGGGCACAATAGTTCCCAAAGGCACTAATGATGAGGCAAAATTCCTCCCACTAACCCCAACAAAGGGGAACAACGGTTCCTAATGACACCAACAATGGGGCACTATTCCTCAAACTGACCTCAACAAAGGGGAACAGTTATTCCCAATGGCACATTTAATCATGACTGACAAACAAATGAGGCACTATTCCTCCCAATGACACCAGTGATGTGACACTATTCTTCACAATGACACTAACAATGGGGCACAATTCCTCCAAATGTCACCAATGATGGAGCATTATCCATCCTAAAGACACCAACCATGGGGCACTATTCCTCCCAATGACACCACCGGTGGGGCACTAGTCCTCCCAATGACAGTGAACTATATCTCCCAATGACACCATCAATGGTGCACTATTTCTCCCAATGACACCAATGATGGAGTACTACTATTTCTCCTAATGACACTAATGATGGGGCACTATTTCTCCCAATGACACCAACGATGGGGTACTATTACTCCCAAGGACACCACCGGTGGGGCACAAGTTCTCCCAATGACAGTGAACTATATCTCCCAATGACACCATCAATGGGGCACTATTTCTCCAAATGACACCAACAATGGGGCACTATTTCTCCAAATGACACCAACGATGGTGCACTATTTCTCCCAATGACACCAATGATGGAGTACTATTTCTCCCAATGACACTAATGATGGGCCACTATTTCTCCCAATGACACCAACGATGGGGCACTATTCCTCCCAATGACAGTGAACTATATCTCCCAATGACACCAACAATGGGGCACTCTTTCTCCCAATGACACCAGTGTTGGGGCACTATTTCTCCCAATGACACCTACAAAGGGGCACATTGTAATAAATGTCCCTGCAGTTTGTTTTCAGTGATGAGAATGGAGTTGGTGTTCCAGAAACATGGCTTGGCTCCTCCCAAGACTGGGCTGTTTGTTGTATTCATGCTGATCCTCTTGTTTAGAGGGACACAAGATGTTCTCTGTAGTCCAGTAAGACAAGACTTCTGTGAAAAACATTTCCCACACTCAGGGCAGGACTACTGCCTCTAACCCATGTGCAATCTGCGATGTTTGGTAAGATTGGAGTTATGTGAAAAACATTTCCCACACTCAGGGCAGGAAAATGGCCTCTCTCCTGTGTGAGACCTTTGATGTATAACAAGTTCTGTTTTCTGTGTGTAACATTTCCCGCACTCCGGACAGGAATACGGCTTCTCGCCCGTGTGCAGTTTCTGATGTCTTGAAAGACTGGTCTTATCTGATAAACATTTCCCGCAATCAGGGCAGGTGTAAGGCTTCTCACCCGTGTGTAATCTCTGATGTCTGGAAAGATAAGTCCTCCTTGCAAAAAATTTCCCACACTCAGGACAGGAAAAAGGCCAATCCCCTGTGTGAGATTTTTGATGTATAACAAGTTCTGATTTCTGTGGGTAACATTTATCGCAGTCGGGGCAGGAATACGGCTTCTCCCCCGTGTGCAATCTCTGATGTCTGGAAAGATTGTTCTTCTGTGAAAAACTTTTCCCGCACTCAGGGCAGGAATACGGCTTCTCTCCCGTGTGAGATCTATAATGTATGATGAGTTCTGATTTACGAGGGAAACATCTCCCGCACTCAGAACAGGAATTTCGTTTCTCACCCGTGTGAGATCTCTGATGGACACAAAGACTTAAGTCAGAGCTAAAATTTTCCCCACATCCAGGACAGGAAAATGTCTCCTCCCCCTGAATCCCGGCCCCATCCCCCACAGTATGAGGTTGCACAGAGTCAGAGGGACTCCATGGTCTCTCCACACTGGGAAGTCCACCATCCATAGTGAAGCTCATTGTCTTTTCTCCGGCACATGGAACCCCGGCCCCATCCCCCACAGTACGAGGTTGCTTGGAGTCAGAGGGATCCCATGGTCTCTCCACACTGGGAAGTCCACCATCCATAGTGGAGCTCATTGTCTTTTCTCCGGCACAATCTCCTGGGATGTCCTCATCTTCCATTTTACAACCTGGAGATAAAGTGAGACAATCCTTTGAGGGTTTCTCCATGGCGGGTCCTGGAAAAATAGAAAAACATCATCAATAGATAGGAGAGAGAGTTAGTTCACTTCCATCAAGATTCCATCTGGATCAGGGAGATAGGAGGAAGCAGATGTTCTCTGTGGATGTCCCAACCAGCTGGGACTCCTCCCCTCTTCAAAGAGCCTTTGGTCCTCGCAGATCACTTCTACATTTACACTGCCTTGTCAGAGGAGCAGGAACCAATGGGGGCTGGGGGGGGGGGGGGGGGGGGGGGGTAACAGAGCAGAGATAAGAGAAGAATATATTCTGGTCACCTGTGCTGATCTCTGTAGGAGTGTCCTCCTCTATGAATGTCCTCCTCATTCCAGCCTCCTCCGTATATTGCTGATCATCCCTCACATACATCTCTTCTACTTCACCCTCAACTTTCATGTTCATCAGATCTTCACCCTAAACCAACAGAAGGGCAGAAAATAACATCTGTAACATAGAAGGATTTATGATGTGAGATCACATAGAACATCTCATCTTGTAGAGTCCACACATCGTCTCCACATGTCAGAGTGTTCCATCACTTTATGTTCCCGACCCTCAACTCGACCTACCTGATGATGGTGAGGGATGGTGTGACCTTCCTGTGTGGAATCCGGGAATACAGAGGATGGGGACATGTCTCTGGTGGGTTCCTGGTATTAGGTGGCTCCATCATTTCATTGGGTTCTTCTGAAATCTCCTCCATCTCACCATGGTCCTCACCCTCCACTTTGTACTCTTCTTTGACACCAAAATTAAAATTGAAGAGGTTTCCACTCTGAATATATAATAAAACACTAATTGCAGCAAACAAGCTTGTATATAAATCATAACTACCAATAATTGTCAATCATCTACCTGATTATGGTGAGATATAGTGTCATCTTCCTGTGTAGAATCCTGGGAATACAGAGGATGGGGACATCTCTCTGGTGAAATTCTGTTATTGGGTGACTCCATCATGATGTCTTTGTAGAAATCCTTCATCATACCATACTCCTCATCCTCCTCTTTATTATCTTTTTTAACATCCATGTTATCCCCAAGGCTTCCACTCTGAATATATATTAAAACATTGATTGTGACAAACATGCTTGTCTATAAATTTTAACTATCAGTGATTGTTCCTCATCTACCTGATGATGGTGAGGGATGGTGTGACCTTCCTGTGTGAAACCCCGGGAATACAGAGGACGGGGACATCTCTCTGGTGGATTCCCATGGCTGGATCCATCTCCTCTCCTCTTACCCGGTGATGTGAGGGGCGGCTGATTGTCCATCATGACGTCCTTGTAGAGGTCCTTGTGTCCTTCTAAATACTCCCACTCCTCCATGGAGAAATAGACAGTGACACCCTGACACCTTATAGAAACCTGACACACACAATGATACAGTCACCATCCAGACACATCCTTTGTCTGTTACTGGAGAATGTCCCAGAATTCCCGGCACCGCTCACCTCTCCTGTCAGCAGCTCCATCATCTTCTTGGTGACTTCTAGAATCTTCTGCATGTTGTGTCTCTCAGGGTTTAGGGAGTCACATGGAGGCACTGTGATGGTCATATGATCACCTGACTTTAGAAGAGGAAATCTCTGTATTGGGGAACCAATAGGAACATCATGTTAGACTCCCAGAATCCTCCTCACCTCTCCGGTCAGGTCTGTGTTTTATTAATAGAGATAAGAGTGATGTCATGTGACCTCCCAGAATCCTCCTCACCTCTCTGGTCAGCAGGTAGAGGATCTCCAGGGTGAGGTTTAGTATCCTCTCAGTCATGTGACTCCGGCCCTCCTCCATCCTCATTGGTCATGTGATCTATACAGGTTTCCTGTAGACCAATAATTGATAACAGAGAATGATCTGGACTGTACTGGTTGTACAATATTAGGATGGGGGGAAAGGGGGGATAATATGAGGGTCTATATCATGGAAGAACGGTCCCCAGTGGGATTACACACAGAGGGACATTCAGTTTTGGGTTTACTATAGTTTTGAGGTCCAGGAACCTCTCACCCTTTGGCCTACCAGATCAGAAATGACATTTTCTATGTAGAGTCTTTTTTATAATATTAAAGATTTAATATTTCCTTTATGTCTAAATAAAACCCCCATCCAAGTCTATAAAATGTAAGGATAGACTGATAAGGTGAAATTGGAAGGTGACACATATTCAAAATGTAGAGAATGTTCCGGCCCCGGAAGTGGGGGAATGTTCTGCCCCTGAAGGGGTTAATCTGGCTTCCCACACTATATATGTGTTAATCATCATCTGCTGGAGATAAAAGACGTCACAGTGACTATGGAGGAAGAGGACGGACATGATGATGGAGCAAGAGGACAGATATGACTATGGAGGAAGAGGCTGGACATGACTGTGGAGGAAGAGGACGGATGTGACGATGGAGGAAGAGGATGGACGTGACCATGGAGGAAGAGGATGGACGTGACCATGGAGGAAGAGGATGGACGTGACCATGGAGGAAGAGGATGGACGTGACATGGAGGGAGAGAGGACGGACGTGACGATGGAGGGAGAGGACGGACGTGACGATGGAGGGAGAGGACGGACGTGACGATGGAGGGAGAGGACGGACGTGACGATGGAGGGAGAGGACGGACGTGACGATGGAGGAAGAGGACGGACGTGACGATGGAGGAAGAGGAGGGACGTGACGATGGAGGAAGAGGACGGACGTGACGATGGAGGAAGAGGACGGACGTGACGATGGAGGAAGAGGACGGACGTGACGATGGAGGAAGAGGACGGACGTGACGATGGAGGAAGAGGACGGACGTGACGATGGAGGAAGAGGACGGACGTCACTATCGAAGAAAATAATGGGTGTGACTGTCACGGATCCAACCCACAAGCACACGCCCACAGCAACTAGCTAACCGAGGCATGTACGTCCGGCCGTGACTTGGGGTAAGAGGGAATGAGGGGGACTTACTCTGAATATATATATAAGACCGGACGTGATATACTTTCACAGCCCGCACTACCTCTGGCCACCACTAGAGGGGGACTCCAATCCAGCTGGCTGACACACACAGGCAGATACAAATCTTATATACAATCTGGTGCACGCTAAGGGTTGGGGAGCAGTCTAGCAATTGGCACACCCTTCTAGGATTCCTCCAGCTATCCTACCAGCTAGAACCCCAGTGTTCATCACGTTTCCACTGTCCACACCCCCCCACACCAGACACACCCCCACACCAGACATACAACAAACAGTAGCTTGCCACCACCCAACATTTTATCCGCAGACTGGTCTGCTGGGCCACCACACACACACAGATCTCCGTCTGGCAGATCTGCTAGTTTACAGTCTGCATGCAATCAGCCAACACGCAGTGCAATTGCATACAGATTGGCAATGAACTTGACTGAGCATATAAAGACACTAAACTTCAATAAAATACAATCTCTCCGGAGATATGAGCCCGAGCTTAAGTACCCAGAAGTCACTATTTAATTTTATGATATAATATCCCGAAAGTGGGCAGTGCATAAAATATGTACAAAGAAAAAACAGTTTCAGAAAATACAAAAAGACACACAATTGGCTATTGACTATAAAATAAAAGGGAATACAAATAAAACTTTTACCAAGATTTATCCTGCGACTGGAGCAAGTCAGAGAAAGTCCGCAATTCGTCAGTCAAATAGAACGGGCTCCATACGAATCACCCCATCCATATCTCAGGGTCCTCAATTTATTGAGATATGGACGTAGGCTGGGCATCAACTCTGGGGGGTGTTCCTGTACCAGCCCACCAGGAATTCTGGGTACTGAAGTGCCCAAAGTCGATTGGACCAGGAAAGGTTTGAATCACCAAGTCAGGGATAGAATTTCAGACACCAGCGCATCAGTCCGATCGCAACAGTACCAATCACTGTTCAGGTGTCGCAATCAGGCGCCATATAACCGTTTTCTGCGTTTCTCTGGGATTCCACAGAGGCTACAAATACAGTTTTACAAGCAGATGTAGCCTACAGTGTGTCCAATCAGAAGGAAGGATTTTCATCTCTCTGCAACTAATATTTTAGTTTTCATGAGATGAAATATTTTCCTTTGATCTGTGGATATACCTCCCCTGCTGCTTCTCGAAGCTGAAATGGCTGGAGCTCCTCTTTTAAACTTCAAGAAGGTGGCAAAGTCTGACTACATAGGTGATAACATTTTATTGACATCCAGGTGTCACCTCTAGCCTAGAAGCTGCTCTGTCCTTTCAGATGCTAATTGGGGACATGTGTCTCTGACTGAATACTGAACACTTAACTTATCTTTAATAACATGGAACTAAGCTAGATATACAATGACATATTTCTAAGATCACATCTCAGCTATCCGAATCCTACATTTATGTTACAGTGATGATGGAGGAAAAGGATGGACACGACAATGGAGGAAGAGGACGGGGACTGCAATGGAGGAAGAGGATGGGCACTGCGATGGAGGAAGAGGATTGGCACAATGATTAAAGACGAGGACAGATACAACGATGAAGGAAGAGGACGGACGTGACAGTGGAGGAAGAGGACGGATGTGACGATGGAGGAAGAGGATAAATATGATGGTGGAGGAAGAGGACGGACGT